CGATAGCGGAGAGATGGAAGTGGAGTTGGATGTTCTGATGTCCAGCTCATATGAAAGCGATAGCGGAGAGATGGAAAAAGAATTGAGACTTACTGATCTATAGAAAAGAGCTTTTAATCTTTCAGACAGAGAAAGATCACCTTATAGCACGTATTTCATCTTTAACTTTGAAAAGCTCAAATCAGTTTAGAGTCTAAGATATGACATAACAGAGGATTAGTTAACTAACTTTTGACAAAGAAAGAATAAATATTTCATACTTGACATGTATTTTGTAGGACTAACAGAGGTGAGCTAATGAAGTTACGCACACGAAGACCGAAGAGAGTCGATTCGTCACAGTTTGCAGCAACTCACTCTAACATATGAAACGACTTGGCGCATTTTACGTCGAGATCTTAAATTGAAAGCGTACAAAATACAGCTTGTGCAAGGATCGAATCCTGGCTCCTTTCGACTCAAATAAATAATAAAAAAAATAAATGCCAAAGAGTGTTCTTGCGAGTGATAATAAACGTTCCCAAGTAAATTTGAAGTTTCTATGTTTTCTTTGTTTTAACTCAGAAACCTCGCTTAATTAAAGTTATACGGTTGTACGTTAGGTAAAACACAAAAAATTAAAAATTATATATAAAAGCATGTAAAAATTAAAAAAAAAAATATACAAAAATGTTTTAAATAAAAAAGTTTTTTTTTTTTTTTTTTTTTTTTTTTTTTGTTGGGGAATAACTAAATGGAAAACATGAAAAATAAATGCCGAAAAATATTTTAAAAGGAAAACCAAATATTTTAATGCAATAAAAAAATATTATATAACGAAACGAAATAATAATGTTTTTTTTAAATTTTTTATTTACGATATTTTCAGTATTATACAATAATGTCCTTTTTATTTTTCATTCACAATATTTTTGTGGTTTCTATTTTTTGTTTACATTTCATTCCGGCGATTACATTGCTAAAAACGCTTGAGAAACAAAAGCATGCGGTTAGTTTGCGTCTTTAAAATATTTACAACAACAACTGCACAATAATAGCAATTCTATATAAATTATGTCATGAGCCATCAGCTAATTACATTTAAATGCACTGTTGCAGCACTGTTGTTTACAGAAACTAAAAAAAATGTCCTGTGTATATACATACTCGTATGTATGCAAGTATAGAAGTCGAAAAAGTCTTTTCGTATTTGTAATCAAACTCCAACTTATTTTTTTTTTATAATTATACTGATAAATAAATAAACACTGCTCCTATTATATTTAAAAACTTGGGAATCAGATTATAATCTCAATAAATGTTGTTCCTTAAAGAGCTACGCAAACAACTAAATAACGGTAAGCATACCTTCAAACATTACCAGAGAAGTATTCAAATATTTCTTTCACCAACAATTAGTTGGCAAATCACTTCGGTTTATATATTTTAAAATCTAATGCGCAACAAACATATAAACATATTCGTATATATGGTGATTTTATACATATATATATATATAAATATATATTTGTGCCTCTGTCTTAGACAATGTTCACATTAAAGACCATAAAATCACTTAACACAAATTTTATTGCCAAACTTTTGAAAGTGACAATACGCGCGGGACTATTATACACATTTGTAATTGCATGTTTAGGTATGTCTGCACACACACACACACACAAACACAAACACACATACAGCCATATATATATATATGACTGCGTTGAAAGGAATTCACAGTTGGCGCACACAAAGGACATTCACCGTGGGAGGACAACAATTGCTGTGCGACATTGATTGCAATGAGACCACCAAGAGAGTTAAAGTGCAAAGTGCTAAATGCTTAAAAACATTTTCAATACGATGGGGAAGAATAAGTAGAAGCTGAGTAAAACGAAGAAGGATTGCTTGGAAGTGTTAAAAGGACTTAGTGGAAAGTTGCGGCGTTTTCGATGAAAAATATGAACAAATATTTAGCATAGAGAGTAGGAATACCATTTCTGGCTCAATGGGAAATTACCGCATTTGGGAAGAAAAGCAATCTGAAGGAATTGTAGAACTGCCATTTCATCTAGGAAAAACAAGGGTTTGTTGGTCAGTGAATCATCGATCCATATTTCTTCAAAAATAATGCCATGTTAAGCGACTGTTTGATGCCTGAAACAGATTGGACTCAACGGTTGGACCATTTGAGATGCAGTTGCGGCCAATATTTGAAAGAGATAATCTTCAAAAAATAAATCTCACGGAATGTTCTTTCGCATAATAATAAACATTCCGTATTAAATTTGAAGTATCTGTGTTTTTTCTTTAAAAAAAATAGTAATAATCGAAATGGATCACCCTTCTCAGCTTCTAATATTATAGTTGTCCGATGTATATTAATATGAAATATTTAACATTCTAACGCGCAGTACTGTTCATACCGACATTTACTGATCTGCGCCTAAAAAAACACGACTCACTAAATTTTTCGTGGTCAAAAAGATCTTTTTGATAAATTTAAATACTTATTAATATTTCTCAAGTTGGCAACATCTTAGCCCTTAACATACAGCGCTGGTCTTTTCGACCCTTTCTCTGATAATCTCTCCCATAGTCACTTCGTTTTCAATTTCTGTTTTATAGCATTTCTCAGCAGGCGTAATTGATCAATTAACCTTCCTTTGCTCAAGTAAAACGCTAATCTAGATCCATTTATCATACAAAATAAGAATCTTTTACTACATTAATGCCTAATCGGATTCAAATCGAGTTGAAACTAGAAGGCAAGTAGAAGGGTTGTTGTCCCCACTGTATATTTGGTTATTGTCCATGCTGCAAAATTGGTTGTGTGCCTTGATAAAATAGCAATCAGTTGATGAGTACAAAATGAAGAGCACAAGTAAGCATAACAACTGATCGTTAATCAAGCCTAGCTTTAATCGAAAGCGAAAACTGGTTCCTCAGTTTTAACCTTAATGTACTAAATTAACTTGGCTGCACGAAAAGTTTATTAAAATAATAGTTGGATAAATTCGATCGATGTTTTCCTTATCCTCCTTATTTTTAAAACTTTCGAGGTTATTTAAAAGACAGGTATAAACAACACATACACTTATAGAAGTACCATATCTGGACTACTTCAAATATTTTCGAACTTTCCCCAAACGTGCTGTACAAACTCTTAACTAATTTTTTACTAAAGACTTCGCCTGTTATCTGCGCTCATTTGCAGCGTTCTCATCTCTGTCTATAAACGAGTACATATATGTGGTATGCGTGTCTGTTGTTTGAACTTTGAATTTAGCGAAACGTGCCAACATACTCGTAAATTATACATTTTTCGAGTTACACGAGCACACACATTTTCGGATTCCTCCATATGCTCGCAGCACACACACGTGCAAACGTTCCAGCAGGTATTATGAACGGATGCGTGTTAGCACACCTGTCGTAAGCGAGAAATGGCAAAGCAGTAGTGTGAAACTTTGCAGCGACTTTTAGTGACTGCCGAGGAGTTACGAGTTCACTTTCCGCTCTGCGCTGTATTTATGGAGCTACTTAAAGCAACAGTGGCTTTGTCCTTACTAGCTTCTTATATGCTAGTTGAGAGTTGCTAAGCAATTTTCAGTGGTTAGTAATAATGCTTTAATTTTACCCTTCTTAAAGCAATTTGCTTGAATTCCTGAAGGCTCGGAATTCTTGCTCCGAGTTTCCGGGACTAAGAGTCTCTTAGATGTAAGCAACTTTATATTAACCGCCTTATCTAAACCGCTGTTATATGTATACCTTCAGAGCTTTAAAGCAGTTATTCTGAGAATGCCACATAGGGCCTTTTTCTCATTTTAGAAATCGAACTGCTCTCGATACCTTTCTTAATTTTGCCTAGTTTTTTTTTTTTTAATTTCTCTTTTTTACTCTCTCGAAGCTTTCGATCGTATTTCAGTATGACTTGAACTTAGCGATGTCTTAAACAGTCTCCTCTCTTTTAGCAAAATCGCATGATTTTTTGTTAGTTATTCCATTTAGGACGCTAAATATCAATTAACAAGAGATCTATTCTTTCAGAAAGTAGAAGTTAAAGTCGATAAGCGAATGCCAGCAAGATTTCGGTCTCCACTGCGCAGAAAGGAGATATGAATATGTACGGGTCCCAAATCCAGCGTGGATTGTTTTTGCCTATTGGCTTCTAAGACCGGTAATCATGAGCGGCTTTAGCCATATGTAAATGAATCGTTTCTGGCCGCTACCAAGTAAATGGCGCACAGAGCACTTTTCTCACTTGCGTGAACTTTGCACATGGCTCCATTCTCCGTTGATAAAACGATGAGTTGTACGAGATATACCGACATTGAGATAGTTCAGCGAATTAAGAGACAGCGGCTACGCTGGCTAGGTTATGTCATCCGAATGAATGAAAACACTCCATCTCTGAGAGTATTCGACGTAGTACCCGCCGGTGGAAGCAGAGCAAGAGGAAGACCGCGACTCTTATGCAAAGACCAGGTGGAGAAAGACATGGCTACACTTTGAATCTCGAGTTGGCGCCAAACAGCGAAAAAGAACGAAGAAAATTGTATGAATTCCTGCTCACTTCAATGGAGATCAAACCACACTAAACGTAGTAATTCTACAAATCTCCCACGCATTTTACACCTCGTACAAATTAACGACACCCCGCGCAGCGCAAACAGTACGTATAATCGCCAGGAATGGCATCTCTAACATCATTTCCAACAGCATGGGTACTTAACAATCCGCCTGTTGCATCAAATTAATGAAGTTTGTATTTGAAGCATTCATTGTACCGCTGAAGTATCAAGGTAAGCACCAAGCTTACTCTAACCTAGTCATGGCAGCGGCTAAGTGATCGCAGTCAACGCTTCAAAACCAAGTATTTCGGCAATTGGATTCACCCGCTAATTGCATGCAATCTAATTTATTAAGCGAGACAAAATCTGCTAAATCAATTAAACTTAAACGAGTTTGTGAGCGCATTAAGTGAGAAGCTGCTGAGGAAGCTTACTCTTCATATTAGACTAGCAATTAACTGCAGGCAGCTTTATTCTCGAATTCGATTTAATTAAAAAACTAAAGTGTAAAATGTTGTCGTGGCAAATCACAGTCCACTGCGACATTTGAAATAAACACAACCCCCACAGCGCTCATGCCCCTCGTAGCTGACGAGTGAGTTTTGTTGAAATCAATTTTCCAATTAACTAAAATCAATGAAGTGCCAACGACAACAGCTGTCAGCGATTTATACGTCCAGTGACAACAGACACAACTGCATCGTATATACATACATATATATATCTTGTAGATATATATTCC